ATGTCCCGTTGCAGGATGAGCAGCTCTATGATAGCGTTGAAGAAATCGATCAATATTTTCTTGTAGGTTCTTCGATGTGGTGTCCGGGCGCATTATCGCGTTTTTGATGGTCTGCACATAACGCTCGGCTTGTCCATTTGTAGCTGGATGGTACAGTGAGTTTGTGAAAACGCACTCCTTGGGATGTTAAGAATTCTTTGAAATCAGAGGATGTGAATTGCTTACCATTATCTGAAATCACCCAAGTAGCATTTTTCAACGGAAAAATCGCGATTTTATCGCCGATAAAGTCGCGATTATCCTCGATTTTATCGGCGATAAAATCGCTAGGATCATCAACATTTGAGCGATTATCCTCGATCTTTTCGCGATTTTATTGCGATTTTATCGGCCCGAAAAAATTGCGATTTTATCGCGATAAGATCGAGGATGATCGCTCAGATGTTGATGATCCTAGCGATTGATAAAATCGCCAAAAAAAAGGGGTTAAAGTTGTCAGCCGATTGCCGTTAGGTTCAGCCGTCAGGTCCTTTGACGAAGACGAGCGTAAAATCCCCGGAGCCTCCGCGGGGATTCGAACCCCAATCGCTACGGTGGAAGGCCAGCACATTGTCACTATGCTATGACCGCTATATGACTTGCGTGTGCGAATTGAAGCCTCTTATACATGGATCGGCGCTTCGCAACCTCACAACTTATGTCTTTGCGTTGACTGACACCGATTTTTCATTGGATTTTTTTTTTTTTTTATTTTCCCTCCTCTGTATTTTATTTCATACCTTGAAATACGGTTGGTAAAATAAGGTTCTATTGGTAATCTCATCATTCTGTCTCTGTAAAATTACCAATAATAGTGAGATGGCAAAGTTACCGATGGACCTTGGGAAAAACGCCAATAGTTTTTATCGACTGTGGTAGAATTACCGAGATAAAATGGTAAAGTTACCGGGGATTGATTACCAATAAAAGTGGTATTCTTACCTGAAAAAATCAGTAAAAATACCGGTTTTCAGGTAAGCTTACCAGTCTGTCTTTGTAACATTATACTAATAATTGATAAAAAAAAATGAGATGGTTAAGTTACCAACGGATCTCGGTAAAAACGGCGGCGGCGGAATAGAAACATCTTTCATATGCGTCATTCATGCGTTAATGAAAAATTGCAATTTATTGCAATTTTATCTCTATAAAATCGCGTTCGATAATATCGCGATTTTGTTGCAATTTATCGCGATTTTTCTCCCGATAATAGTGCAATAAATCGCGACGTCGATAAAATCGCGATACATTCTCCAATTAAATCGCAATTTATCGCGATCACTGCTACTTGGGTCACAGTGTCTGGAACGCCGAAAAGAGAAAATAGATGACCTAGCTTTTCACAAGTGATGGATGATGTCATGGATGATGTGACGAGCGATTGAGTCCATTTTGAGAAGGCATCTACTATTACAAGTAGGTATTTGTTGTGCACTGGGCCAGCGTAGTCGATATGAATCCTAGAGCAGGCTTCTTTAGGACGTTCCCAATGATGGCTGTTGTTTTTGGGCGGTGATTTTGCATGGCTTAAGCAAGTGAGGCAGCTTTTTGCTAATTCTTCAATGTCGCGATCAATGTTCGGCCAGTAAATAAGAGATCGGGCGATGCTTTTCATCTTGGTGATGCCAATGTGGCCCAGGTGAAGTTCTTTCAGAAATTTTTGCGAAGGGAGTTTGGAATTACCACTCTATGACCAAGCATTAAACAACTATTTGAGATTGAGTAGTTAAGTTCTCGGCCTTTGAACCCAAGGTGAAGTAGGTTATCATTCGACTGGATGGCTGGAACGAGAGGTGATAATTCTTGATCCTTGCTTGTTTCTAGAGCGATGGATTCTGGAGTTAGAGGCAATAAGTCGACTTGATGGATGAAGAAGTAGTCAAAATCATCTGCGACTTGATTTTGTGAACACGTTGGAGCGTCAGGGATAGGTGAGCGAGATAGATAATCAGCATTCTGATTTTCTTCTGACTTTTTCAGTTTAATGTCATACATGAAATTGCAAAGATAAGACGCATAGTTTGCACATCTTGATAATGTGAACATCGGCAACATTGAGTTTGGCGCAAAAATATGGGAGAGAGGTTTGTTGTCTATGTACAAGATGAATTTACGGCCGTAGAGATATTGAAAGAATTTTTTGATTCCCCAAACAATAGCTAGGGCTTCTCTATCTATTTGCGGATATGCTTGTTCCGTTTTATTGAGAGATTTGCTGGCGTAAGCAATTGGACGCTCCGGTTTGTCGGGCATGACTTGAGAGAGAACAGCACCAAGCCCTAAAGGGCTGGCATCTACAGCTAATATCAGCGGTAGGTTGGGATCATAGGGTGTTAGCACTATTTGACTGCTTCGTGACTTAATCAAACGGTCATGTGTTGTTCTTTTTATGCAAACAGTTGTCGGACATTAAGTGGATCCTTTCCATGCTGCCTCTCTGTATCCTCATTTTATTTCTGCTCAGAGCGCCGAGTGCAATGAACTACAACTGATTTCACCTTAATACTGCTGCCAAGTAACTGTAGAGTAGAATTGGCGTGTGCACACAAACATTTTCCTAAATTCCTCGTGCTTTTCCCAATATCATCTTCATTCCTAACTAGAACTGAGGAAAGAAATGTTCGATGCATTCAGGTTAATATGGTATTTGCCTCTTCTGTTTGTACTGCAGTTCCATTACCTACGTTATGACTCTCTTGTCTTAATTTCTACCTGTCGGTCGAGCATTTAAACGATAGTGACAAAAGCTCTTTCTCAATTCAACCACCAGTAAACAGAGGATTCATCGATGCGTTAATCTCAAATCCTTTTGTAATCATTATCTAAAAGTAAATTGCATATGAATTGAAGACTAGATAGAACAATTGATATTTGACAAATTTGATGACAGTAAAGAACTGCAGAATGAGCAGGCTTGATTTATGAGGATTCTTATGTGCATACACATTAACGAGAAACATGTATTCACCTTATGAGCTACGTAAGTGCTTGATAAGCGTTAGTTACACACTGGGAGACTTTGCGCAGGCAAGTAGCTTCAATTGGGATTCAATACCCAAGTAGCAGTGATCGCGATAAATGGCGATTTTATCGGTTGACTATCGCGATTATATCGGTGGCAATTTATCGCAATATTATCGAATGAAAAATTTCGATTTCTGGCGATTAAATCCCTATGCAGGCATCGCAATTTTTTGTTCAATAAAATTGCGATCAATTTTCGTCATAAAATCCAAATGAAATCGCCACATATCGCGATTTCTGCTGCGATCGATAATATCGCGATAAGTTGCCGGGCGATAAAATTGCGATTTTATTGCAGCAAGATCGAGGATAATCGCTCAAATGTTGATGATCTTAGCGATCTTGTCGCACGTTTAGTGTTCCCAGCACACTGAACTTCTAACTTAAGTCAATTATAGCATAACTTTAGCATTACTTAATTATATTTTTGCCGCTAACTGTTACGACATCACTTTTAACGACTTAAACATGGTTATATAAATTCAAATGAAATTCTCTGTAACCTTCATGAGAAGGACATTCCTTTCTGGCCAATGAGAATTACAAATAATGCTCCCCTTAAAAATTAAGGGAACTTTTTGGCGCCTGACTCTACCCCAAATCAGCCTTGCGGCTTAATTTTTTTCATTTTTTAAAACTGTTTCATGCTTAATCTCACTAAAAGTGGCCAAACAGTGTCCTGGTTTACAGTACTACTTGATAAGTAGTAATGCAGAAAGTTCTAAGCATTTATCTACAAGGAAACAATTTTTTTTTTACCGTTATTCAATTCTCAGATTTGAGGGGTTTTTTGCCGCTAACTGTTACGACATAATTCTTAACCACTTAAACATGTTTATATACATTCAAATGACATTCTCATAAACCTTAATGAGCAGGACATCATCTTCTAGCCAATGAGAATTAAAAATAATTCCCCCCTCAAAAATTAAGGGGGGGGGTAGTCCAGTTACCCCATGACGTTGGGTAACTGGGTCAAAAAAACGGGAAATGTTTGAAAATGTGTGGGAAAAAATTGAAAGATGAAATTCGACTTTTGACTCTTCCTACATTTAGACAAGGTGTTGTACTTACTAAAAAAAATTTAAAAGTAGCCTCCACTGTCAATATAATGATGGGGAAAAAATCATGAAGTTGAAATTTTGACATTTTTCTCCGAACTTTTGCCCAGTTACCCGACCTCACCTTAACGGGATTTTTCAAGGTAATGATGGGGATGAGGCCATTTCTGCTATTCTTCCACCCCCAGTCACACGCGTATTTCTTGATGCTCACCCATTGCTATATACTTGAGGATAGCAGCATGAAATGTGGCAGCGTTCTCTGAAGGTGAAAGACGAGCGAGATTTTGTACATTGTGGAAAAAAGTCGGAACATAGCTTTCATACCTAAACTCAGCCAAAAATTTTTCTGCTCACCCTTGAAACCATATAATCGGAGTAAAACTTATTTTCCTGCTTCAGAAATTTCTTCTTGCTTTGAGGCTGATTTTTTAAGCATCTGAGCTGCTGGTTCACTTATCAAAGCTGAGTTCTTCTCCAGGGTTGCTTAAAAATTTAACTTTGACTTGCCTGAAGAGTGATGATGTTGAGTGATGATGTTAAGTGATGATGTTGTGTCACACCTACTAATGGCATGAATGAACAGTATGTGTGTTATGTAGCAGTTGGTAGTATGTACGAGTGGTGATATTGTCGCTACTTAGGTGTCAGGCCTGCAGGGCAAGCTTGTATCTTTATCAATATACTCTGTCGTTATGTCACGCAACTCGTGCATTTCACTTTTTCATCATCCTTCGTTTTTCCGATATAACAAATGGCGACGAGCAAATCCAATTTATTTCAGAATTCGGAACCCTTTCTCTTTAACGTGTTTTTGCGTTAACTGTCGCGTTTTTCTCGCGCTATCGCTCGACCCCGTGAAGTGTGCATCGCATCATGTCGGATGGTGAAACAGATCCTCCTCAACCTCAAGGCCTCGAAGCTAAACTCGCCCAATTAACTGACTTGGTCCTGCAGCTTGCCGCTTCCCAATCTTCACCGACGGTCCAATCCGCCTCCCGGTTCTCTTTTGATGCTTTCTCTACAACGTCTCAAGAACATATAGAGGATTACTTTGACAGGTTCGAACTCAAATTGAACTTATGCCATGTGCCTAAAACTCAATGGGTAAACCAGGCCCGGGTGCACATGGGCCCCGAGTTAAATGCATCATTAAATGCTCTTTGTTTTCCTGTCCTTCCTAGCTCGCCTGACTTTGCATCACTCAGAAACAAGCTCATTTCTCACTATGCCAAATCGCGTAACAAATTTAGTGAAGCCATCACCTTCCGGAAGATTCATCAGCACGCTGATGAGTCTATATCAGATTTTGTGTCTCGCCTCAAGACCGGTGCGCGATATTGTGAGTTTGGCGACTTCCTAGATTACTCGCTTAGTATTCAGTTCATCCACGGCCTGTTTATCGATGACATCCGCGAGGAAATTGTAACGAAGCAACCTGCCAACTTCGATGCTGCTGTCGCTGTGGCGACTAACCTCAAATCTTCTTTTCAAGCCTCTGCCATCCTCAAGCCCACTTCTGTCCAACACTCAACCACTATCAGCAAGTTTTCACATGAAACTAGACCCAAACTCAAGAAAAACTCAGGAAACTATCGGAGCCGCAGTCATCCTCACAGTAAGAACTCACACCGCAGCCCTTCTCTCAGTAAGAATTCTCATCGCAATCCTTCTCACAGTAAGAACACAAACTCTTGTTTATCTTGTGGAGGTTCTTATAACCGCAGTACATGTAAATTTTATAATGCTGTCTGTAATTACTGTAAAATCCGAGGTCACCTTGTCAATGCATGTAAGAAGAAAAAGTACTTTAATGGTAAAGAAGTTCATGATAATACCAGAAACAATTCTGATAATTCTAAAGTTCATGATTTTCGTCCCGATTCTGATACTTATTATCTGCAACATCAATTTAAATCGATCTCTGGTGGCAGTCCACCAATTTTGCTCGATGTCCTCATCAATGGTAAATTACTCCGTATGGAGCTTGACAAAGGTGGTCCCTGTAGCCTTATCAGTCATAGCACGCTCCAAAAATTATTACCTCGTGCCAGAATGACTAAAATTAATGAAAGTTTCACCTCTTACACTCAAACTAAGTTCAACTGTATAGGTTACATTTGGGCTAAAGTGACTTTCAGGAATCGTACTGAGTACCTCAAATTATTCATCACAGATATCCCTGGCGATAACATTTTTGGTCGTCAATGAATTAAACCTTTTGCAGATCTTTTCTCTCTTCATGAACTACTCCACAATCAAACTGATATTAACAATGTATGTGCACACAATTCTCTAAATAAAATGGATTTTATTAACCTTAATAAGTTTCTCGACAAACACAAAGATATTTTTGGGAATAAAGCAGGTACCCTAACTGGATCTGCCCTTGATTTTCACTTCAAGCCAGGTGCAAAACCTCAATTCTGTAGAGGTCGACCGCTTCCCTATTCTATGCAAGATCAGTACGCTGCTCAAATTGATGAAAAAATCAAATCAGGATTCTATAAGGTGGTTGATCATTCTGAACGGGCTAGTCCCACACATGTTGTTGTGAAAAACAACAAGCTGAGAATTACGGGTGATTATAAAACCACTCTCAATCCTAACCTAATAATTGACGACTATCCTATTCCCAGGCCGGAGGAACTCTTTTCAAAAATTCGTGGCTGTAAATACTTTTGCAAGCTGGATGTTAACGACGCATTCATGCATCTTCTGTGCTCTCAGGCTGTATGCGAAGCGATGACTTTGAACACTCCAACGCATGGGTTAATCCAGCCTACAAGAGCGCAGTACGGTGTCTCTAATATCCCTGCTGCCTGGCAACGTCATCTGGAGCAAATTTTAAAAGGTATCAAAGGAGGTGTCAAATTTTTTGATGATATATTAGTATTTGGTTCCTGTCAAGTATAGCGACTCTCTGACGTTGCTTGCCTCTCCTTTGTTCAGTTGGCACGGCTGCTCTGTTGACCGGGGAAATTTCGAGTTTGCTTTGGAGCATCACTTGAGAAGTTCCCCTGGCCAATCAGAGGAGTGGATTGCTCGGCTGATCACTGGAGGGGGGAGCAACGAGTTGGTGAGGAATGGAGTGCGTTTCGTCAGATTATTCGGTCGGTGTGCTCTGTGAAGTATGGAATAAAAGTTTGTGTCATCGAATCAAATTGGGTTCTCTCTGCTCTCCCAACCCGGCCAATCGCCAACCTTAACATGGTGCCGAGACCTCGGCGAACCCTTGAGGACTGAATAGCCTGAGATCGACTTTCCAACATCGTCATTGACTTCTCACTGGTGGCCTAAATCCGCATCCCCTCGTGATGGACATTCCAACGGCAGCTAAATAGTTTCCAACCTCGTCATGGACTTCTCACTGGTGGC